CTCACGCCAGACGAAGCCTCAGCAGGGTGGGTGTCGGCACCAGCGTGTCGTACCAGTACCCTCAGTTCAGTAAAACACAGACCAATTCGGAGGCCCACAGACACAAAAGCACACAGGCCTCTTACACCCACAGAGATAAAACATTTGTGTTGTTCAGGCCCCAAAAACAACAGGAAGTTTTCTGAGAAACCCGGGTTGCTCACGCCAAGCGGCAGTGGGCCAGAACCCCAAACCCAGGCGAGTCCAGAAACTGAAACGTAACAGCAGGCGCAACTAACAGCTGCCTGTCAGAAGATGGCTACCCCCCCGCGGGCTACAGGGGGAGACAGGAAGTGCTCCCAGGATGCATGTGTGTGTAATTTCTGCCATTCTGCACAATACCGCCCATCGATGCATTTCCGGGAGAAGAGCAACAGATACTGTAAACACACACACACACACACACACACACACACACACACACACAGTCCTTCTGGACCTCAGCCAGGGGTACCATGGGAAACGATGACTGCTTCCCCCCGTTCTCATGGTTGCAGTCAGAGGACTTTGGGGCTGGGGGGGGGTAGGTGGTCCCCAAACGTTTCCTCATTCCCCCTTCCTCTAGGAACCGCAAAGGGGGATGTCTATTTATGACAAATGGCAACACCTCCACATAAACCAGAGCCCCCCCCCCCCCCCGAGCACTGGGGGATAAGCAGAGAGACAAAGCAGCCTGCGTGTGGATCAAACACACGAATGCCGTCAGCCCCGAAGCACCCACACGCGGGGCATTCTGCCCGCAGGCCTGGGTCTCCGCGTGCGACACGCCACACAAAGGGTCTTCAGAACGTGTGAAATGTCAAGTGAGTCAGACGGGTGGCTTTGCATGGGCTCTGGTACAAATGGGCCCAAGGACGGGGACGTGGCCTGCCTCTCGGGCTTCGTTCCCAAACAGAGGGACAGCGCTGTCACCGCAGCCAGAAGGCGGCCAAGTCCTCGTCCCCTCCACTCAACACTATCCTTCAGGGTCACATCAGACACAAAACAGTTATTTCTGTTTCGACCTTGAACCAGCTCAGTGGATAGATATCAAAATGAAGCTGTCGGACACCCCCCGAAAGATCCTGTCAGGTAGGCAGAGCAGGCGTATAGGAAACACCCGCACAATCACGCGAGATTGGGGGGGGACACACAGTGTTATCCCAGTCTGACAGGCAGAAGATCCTAAGAATGTCTAAGCAAATCTCGAAACCCCAATGGAAAATTCATATGACATGCCGTGCCCGGCCCTTCCAGGGGGGCTGGGTGAGGCATAATCACATCTGTCACCCATACAGAGCATCTGCTCAGAGGGATCTGCTCTGCTTTGTTGAGGTCTGTTTGGGATCTGCCCGGCCAGAAACCACTTAGTCAGCTTGATCGTCGGTCCGCGTGATCACCCCAGGCGACAGACCCTGCCCGCCTGGCATGCTGGGAAACGGCAGCCTGCCTTTCATGTCTCCCAGTCCGTAACACTCCCCCAAACAGGTTAAAGGACGAGATTCCGGAAGACGGTTTGGAGGAATAGACCAGCGACAAGCGAGAGGTGGATGTGTCGCTGTGGCAACCTGTGAGCGTCTACGCTGCCCCCCCCGTCCTTTGGGGTCCCCACTTGGCAGATATGTTGCACTCAGGAAGAACTGGTATGGTATATGCAGGCCTCACATTTGTTCTGAGACAGAGAGAGGGGGAGGGCCTGCTATGAACCCCCCGTGCAGGACAAAGTGGGGGGGGGGGGAGACAAAAGCCAACTGGAGGGTGACTCCTCCCTCAAGGAATCTTATTTAAATCTGTCATAAGAAGCAAATGAAAAACGCGGAGGGCATGACATCTGCCCCCACCCAATTTTCAGTGGTCTACAGTATGGAGGAAGGTTATCCTGGACCCCCCCGCACACCAACCCAACTAGCTACCGGGTTCCTCGGAGGAGTTGGGGGTCATTATGCAACAGGCGAAGGGAGTCGGACAACGGACGACATTCCTGCTGCTCACTAAAGTGAAAACAACCCCCCCACTGGCCCCCCTGCACATATACCTGATCTCTGAGCTGAATCTCATTTCATTGAGCCTGAAGGAGATGACTTCATCTCCATACTATGCTTCCTGTTTGGGAGCAGTGGCTACGGAGAGGGAAGACGGGAGCAAGAGAGGGAGGGAGGAGAGAAGGGAGAACAGCGGGGGGAGGGGGGAAGGGGGGGTTGGTGTGGGTCATGGCCACACACCACTGCCTCATGACTGCAGAGGCCACCTTGGTCTGATCACCCCTCTCTTCCATAACATCTGGGTTTAAATAGCCGGTTTCACACCAGCTCAGACGGTGACAGCAGAGACGACGAGATGAGCTCACTGTAGGTGACCGGTCTCAGTACAGCCACGAAAACAAAAAGGCCGTGAGAATGGACACCCCTGGCCACGTGTCCGTATGGGTGACATGAGAACACGTCACCAGAAAAGCATAAAAACACACGACACACCCTCCCTAAATGGGCAGACGGTCTTGCCTGCCATTGGAAGGTTGCTGGTTTGAATCCTGTGCTCAGCCGTGTAGCGACGACTCCGCTGGGCCCTTGAATGCCCTGGGGGAAGGACGACCCTGCGTTCTGCCCCCAGGCTTTGCTGAATGTGTGTGTACACGGAATAATGGGCAATTAAAGAAAAACATGCACTCCAACGTAGCTGTACTTCTGCCAGTGTCACATTAAGATTAATCTCATTCCTGGAAAGGAGTGACGTGTCACCTCCAGCCCAGACTGGCAGCACGATACGGACACCGAGAGAGAACAGCATCCACATCTCGCCTCGCGCTCTGGCTCATGTGGACAGAGGGGCTCCGTTTCCCGATTATTTATATTCGCCTTAAGCTAAACACAGCCCCTGGCAGACGGGTCTCCTCCGCAGCGCAGGACATCAAAGTCCAGGTTGTGACGCAAACTGACAGCAGTGGGTAGCATCGGTGTCCCCGACGAGCACAAACAAATCAACTTGTGGGCCGCAATCCATCGGCAGCCAGATGGGAGCTGGCGGGCTGCTGTGGGGTCCTGGGTCGGCGGAAAGCAGGCTGGGTTTTATCACAACTCATAGTAACCACAACAACTTCCTGTTTCTGTACAGCTACTTCCTGTCTGCACAGTCTCACTCCAGGCACAGCTGTCAAAGCCGGGCCGAGGCGGATGCCCGGGCACCCCGGTCACACCCCGAGAAAGTGGCTCGGGGGACAAAGCGTCCTGAAGGGGAGAAGACACTCAGGAATCGAAAAAAAACACGTGCGTACAGCCATCGGCTTAAACGGTAGAAACCGGGAAACAACGGTTTGGCACCAGTTAGGTTATTAACTGGAAAACAGGTGTTATTTGTATGCAAGGCGCCGATAGGAGGACTCTGCCGCACGAGGCAAACAAACCACAAGCACGCTGGAATTTTGGCTGCTGATCCAGGTACGTACCTCGCGAGCTCCTACCGCCGGCCATCAGGGCACGCTGAACGCAGCTGCTCTAGTCTCGACCGCAGAGGAACCGCACACATCGCGGTTTATTAAGTGACAAAACACATAACCGTAAATCACTGGTATGCTGGGGGACATGATCACTCCCCGGGCCTGCAATTATTCACTGCGAGGATGGCTGGGCGCTTCACGGGCCTGCAGGTGGCGCTAACCACTGGATTCCTAAGGTAGCAAGTGCACGTGGCTCCCTGGAAATGAGGAAAAAGGGCGCAAACTAGGCAGAAGACTGGGATTCAGGCTGCATGGCATGGCACAGCCTGGGATGGGACAGCCTGGCATGGCACAGCATAGCACAACAAGGCATGGCATGGCACAGCCTGGGATGGCACAGTCTGGCATGGCATGGCACGGCCCTCAAACAAGAGTCTACTTCCCATTCAAGCTCTGTGCAGCTGCACCTGCCCTCCACGGACAGGTAGTAACACTCACAGCACCCAGCCCAAACAAAAACATTTCACGAGGATAATGAACGTACACCTCAGAACATTGAGACTGAGTAAGAGCTCCAGGGAACTGCCTTATTCACACAGGAGACAATTAGGAGGAAGAGGATGAGGAAGAGGAGGGTGGGGCCATGATGGTGTCACTCTGACGGGTCAGCAGGGCGCCCCGTACTCAAGCTGTGTAAGATCTGGTCACCTGCCCGCATACCGAGGACAGAAGCGGGACCCCATGGGAAAGCAGAAAGCACGCACACACACACACACACACGCACACACACACACACACACACACACGTACAAACACACACACATAGACGTACAGACACACACACACACCCACACACACACACAGACGCACAGACGCAGTCAGCAACCTTCCCCGCCTGGTGATTCCTCCCAGGCAGGGTCCTTGCTCACTGGCCCAGGGAGACACATTTCTCTAAACACACAGTACAGTGCACGCTA